GAGAGAATTTGTGGAAGGTTGATGTGCTTAGAATGGAAAGATCCATATTCATCTGGAATAGAGTGTAGGGGAACTCGCTTTAGAGATGTAATATGGCTCCAGAAGCAAAGGTGTCTAGGAAATGTGGGACTCTCTGTTTAACTTTCTGTGACAGTTTAACTCTCTGCAGCCTCAGGTCTGGCTGACTACCCAGAAAGCGGAATGCTGCCCAAAGATAACCATCAGGCCCCAGCAAGGAGGTTAATGAATGTGTAGAGTGTGAATAACTGTGCGATGCTATCTGTTAACTTAGAAATGCCTTGTTTAACTTATGCAATGTCTGGTCACTGGGTTGTACAAAAGTAGAAATAAACAAAGAAGCAATGCATTGTTCTTTCTGGTGGTCTATGAGACCATCCACCATATTCTTTTACTGTTAATCCCTATAAAAAAGAGACCCTGTCCTGACCCACGGGATGGGGTGGATTTTTCCCACCGGCTACCCCTGGGAGCAAGCAGCTGCTCTGCCTGTCTATGTAAGTTTCTCCTATTAAAGCTCTTATGAACTGGAATAAGGCTACATGTCAGTTCTTCGGAATCAACCCTAGATTTAGGCTTTCCCTTAACAGTATATTTGAATACATGATATACTTTAATCCTTAAAATCATCCGGTGAATCTCTCTCTTTTAAAAAATAAAATTTCTGCTTTACAAAGGAGGAAGTTGAGACTTAGAAAATTTAAGTAACCAGGCCACAGTCATAGTCATCTAGGAATATGATACATCTTGGATAATTCTGATAGAAAATTTATTATAATAATAATTCATTATAATATGCCAAATGCAAGCTAATGCTGCTCAAAATCCACTATTATGGTACTCTTGGGAAAAGACTTTATTGGGATTGTAGAATTTCTAAGTGCAAGCAGTTATCTTTCCTTGGAATTTAGATAGGATAAACAATTAAATGCCAAAAATCCAGTGGTTGTTTTTTTCTATTTTTAAGACTCAGAAATTGTGGATGTGAGAGCAACAGATCATGTCTCTGAGAATTAACTGTTTCTGAAGAAAACTCTGCAGAGTCTGGATCCTGACCTGATATACAGTCCCTGTAGATTCTAGATTCCCAATGGGAAAAGGAACCATGCAGAGATTTAGCCTAGGAGCTCTCCACCCCCACCTTTTATTTTATTTTTATTTTTTTACAGGATCCCAGTGATGTCCTCAAGGAGCAGCTGGCTTACAAACTTCTTGGAAGGAGAAGGAGGGATCTTTGTTACAAACTTCCTTCCCTCCTCCTCCTTCTGTTCCCCTACCCTCTGCCCCCTGCAGAGCTGTGTTTTCTGGGAATCAGCAAGCAGGATCACAAGTGGTCTTTTCTTTTTTTCCACTCTCTCCCATAAAGAAAGCTTTATCACGTGTGGCCTTAAACTTGCAGCAAATTGCAAAGAAATGGCTCAAAGGCTTCAGCTCTTTCTGTGCCCTGGGAGCTGAGATGCACGTCAGTGGCGTTGCCAGCCTGGCCTGTTCTCTGCCCACTGCCAGGGGAACGAGGCCAGGAGGAAAGAGGGAAGAAAAGAGATTGTCCAGGGGTGAGGCTGTGCCCTCCATCTCTTCTCCCTCCTAATCTGCACCATCTGCATCCATCCAGGCTCTCCCCACCTGGCAAAAGTCCTCAGAGCTGCTGTATCATCCACCCCTGTCTGCTCTCTCAGTCTGTGGAGTGTGGTCCAGCCTCTGGCTGAGCCCACTGAGAGGAAGTGGCTGTCTTTGATCCCCACCTCCAGGTAAGATTTGGTTTCTGCATTCCTGTTTTGTGGCTATCACATCAGATCCTCACAGGGGAGAGGTTAATAAACCCTTGAGTTCTGCATAGCATCTTATCCATAACGCTTTTCCATGAAAGTTGTTGGGCCCCTGTGTTAAGCTGGTGGAAACAGGAGAAGAGACTGGTTAAAGAAGTCAGACACACATTCAGATCTAGGTTCCCATTTTGACTCTGATGTTTATTACTTGGGAAGTTTTTGACAAGATGTTTGACTGTTCTGGGCCATATCATTTTCTATGAGGTGGGAATGATAATGCTAAACTTGTTCAGTTGTTTTTTGTTTGTTTTTTAAAATAGCCAGAAATATATAAATCACCTGGCACATAAACAAGTACCTATTAGACCTGAATCTGACACAGTTATTTTTATTGGGAGATCAGCTTTCTAGAGAACATACATTCCTGAAGGGAGGGATCGTGGTGTCCATCTTCCTGTGCGCTGAGAGAAGAGTGTTGGGCAGTGGCTGCCTTTCTGACATGGGCATTCTTTGGCAGCTGATTGCTGGATGGTTGGTCACCGGATCAGGGCATTTGTGTGCTCTAACTAGAACCTTCTAAGGCCACTCACTTGAGCTCGTTAAAATCCAGAGGATTGATTTTCAAACCTAGGGGAATAGGGAATTTCTTTTTTCCCCCCAGACTACAATGAAGAAAATCTGCTTGGTTAATTTTTCCCTCTCTAGAATAAGTTATACTTTAACCCATGGTATTGGATGAGAACTTTGCCATGCCTCTTTTCTGGAATAATCTCTCCCAAGTGGTAGGAGAACAGTTACGAATTTTCCAAGTGCAAATTTTTCTAAATATCTGTGCTGTTGTTCTTCACCTGCAACAACAAATCAAGAGCAAAAGAGAACGAGCACCTGCAGGCCCCAAGGATCTTTCTGTTCATGCCATTGAGCCTCTTCCCCTTCTTGTCGCAGAGGGATGAAAAACACATGCTCCTTGAAACATGCTATACTGGAGATGATGATAGGGCAAATTAGCCATCAAGATGAAATTATATTTTTACTAAAGCTATTCAGTATCAGCATTTTAAGTGGGATATTCTTTTGCCCTAGAAATCAACGAGGATGACTATAGTTCTCTTGTTTTGGTATCACCTCTAGAGACTAGTTAGAGAGGTTTTTGTGTCAACATCTCCAAATGTAAGAAGACAATGTATTATATTTTGGTGTCTTAAGTTTTTAATATTCTTTTCAAAATGATTGTTTTTACTCCTCAGCATTTATATTCTAAATGTAACCCTTTCAATGTTTTCAAACCCATGTGAACAGGGGAGTCAATATGTAAGTGATAGTAATTTTCTTATTAAACAATTTATTTTCATTTCCCAGCCACTGGCTGATGGGAAATAATATTTCTGACTCCTAAAACAGTAGGTCAGTTTGAATTGTATAATAGTTTAGTTCTTGGAAGAAGACTGCATTTTAAACTGTACATTTAATATTATTTATTTTGTATTTTAAAACCTTTCAGGTTCACATATCTTTTTTTTTGGCTTGGTGATATTTTTATTATTTTAAAGTATTTTTATATAAGAAATTTGTGTTTGTTATAGAAAACTTATAGACACATAAAACATTTTTAAAGATCACCAGAAATAATGAGTGTTAACATTTTCTTAATGGAATTTTTTAAGCTTTGTTTCTATGCATATATATGTGAATGTGCAGGTGTTTCTTTTATAGAATAGAATGCATATACTGTTTAGGAGCATGTATTTTTAAAACCAACTCTATAATGTAAATAGTTCTATATATACATATTTACTTCTTTACACTAATTTCTTAGGGCTTCCAAAGATTTCATTGCATAAGTATACCATAATTTACTGGACATTTAGTTAGTTTTATTTAATCATTATAAGCAATGATTTTCTCTAGGATTTTAATTAAAAGTACTCAGTAGTTTTGTCCTAAAGAAACCTATTTAACATTGTATAACCCCATTTTCCCCCAGACCCTGTTTTCATTGTTTTTGAAAAATATTTTTCTGGAAAAGTAGTTTCAGTGGTCCAATGGATATATAAAGTTAATTGTTGGTGTCCTGTAGTTGATGTGAAGAATTTCAATTTTTTAATTTCTTAGAATATGTCTTATTAAAATCAGAAATGATGTTGAATTTTGTTATTTGATGTTTTGCATTGAGATTTTATTATTTTTCTATTTTAATTCTCCTTTTACAACTTGAAATATGATTGCCAAATAAAAAGTATATATGTAAGATGTATAATGTACCTTTGAATTTTTAATGTGGTGATTAGGTGAATATAGTTCCTAATACCGGTATTATTACATTTTAAAATTAGATATTAATTATAAAATTTTAATTAATTTTAATTTACTGTGTTTTTTTGTATTTTAGCATGTCTAGATTTGGTCTGAAGTTTTCCTTTTTGTGCTATCTTAATGAAATTTTATTATCAAGATAATTTTAACTTTGTCAAGTGAATGGACACCATTATCATCTGTTTCCATTATTTGCTGTCTTTCCTTGAAAGACATCTCTTGGCAAAACACTCCTATTACATCATCTGTCCTAGAGTCTTTTTGCCTGAATTAAATTTGAGATACAAATTTTACTGTGGTTTCCTTATTTGTCAAACTAAAATGATAACACAAATTGGTCCTTTCTTATTTTTTTCCCTCCGTATTTTAAGGCTTTGGATGTTGGGGACTTATAGGAGTCACAATGTGGTATTCTAGGACTCCTCTGCTAAGAGGAGAGATTTAAAGGCTTTAAAGGAGTTCAACTTACATTCTGAGTAAAGACTTAATTTCTAATGAAGCAATATTCAAATGACTGAATTCCTCTTCTTCCTTTCCTGACTGCTTCTAGTTTAAGCTGGCAAGACCACAAAGTTAGCAAAATTCTGCCTCATTATTTATTCCAAAGGCAACATTTAAATTTATTCTTTGCCATAATGAGGCTTAAACTGGAGAGAAATGTTGGCACCCAACTCCCGATAGCAGGATTATTTAATCAAACATCCTGGTCAATTTTAATTGAAAAACTTTGCCAACTCACTGTGGTACAATAAGGTACTCTCAGGTCACATTATGTCTACAAAATTGTGATCTATTGTGAAATAAAAATATTATTTAATAAACCGTGTGGGTTTGAATGAAATGTTTTTGTTTTCTACTTTTAAAATCAACTTTGACAGATTAGAGTCAAGGAACATTTTCATAATGGACACTTCATCCAAAGAAAATATCCAGTTATTCTGCAAAAATTCAATGCAACCTGTTGAGAGGCCTTCCTTCAAAACAGAATATTCCTCCTCAGAGAAAAAACAGCCCTGCTGTGGTGAACTAAAGGTAACAATCAAATGCTAAAAACTGTAATAGTGAACAGAAGAATAACAGCAAATTAAATGGCGTTGATACTCTTGGCTCTATGTCCAGAAACTTTTTTTTCTAGACAATATAACTAGAAGCAAAAATGTATTTCCTTCTTTAAAAATGACCTTAGATGCAATTTATTGAAATCACAGTGTGCCAGATAGTGAAAGAAATCTCTGCCTGACCATGTAGATTAAATTGCTAATTCCTGGCCCATTTGCATGCCTTTTCTTAACAAAAAGAGAGTGAGGGGAGGGGAGTGTCAGAAGACACGAATAGTTACTAAATATCTACCATGTTCCAGATACCAGATATTATACTATGCACAGTTATAATATTAAATCTATAAAATATCTACATTAGCCGAGACTGGTTTGGCTCAGTGGATAGAGCGTCGGCTTAGGGACTGAAGGGACCCGGCTTCGATTCCGGTCAAGGGCATGCACCTTAGTTACTGGCATATCCCTAGTAGGGGGTGTGCAAGAGGCAGCTGATCGATGACTCTCTCATATCGATGTTTCTAACTCTATCTCGCTCACTTCCTCTCTGTACAAAATCAATAAAATATATTAAAAAAATAAAAATAAATAAAATATCTACATTATTCCCATTTTAAAAATAAAAAATTTGACCTTTCTTGCTGCATGGTATGGTCAGTGGAGGGGATAGGATTAAATGGTGCTTTTTTTTTTTTTTTTTTTTTACTCCAACTTCCTATTCTTTCTTTGTACCAAATATCCACCAACAAATGTCTTTTTGATATAAATGATAACCTACCCTGTGGATGCCCTGTTATATCCCTGGGTCTAGCAAAATACAGGTGCCAGATAGCAAAAAAAATTCATGCACCATCACTATGAATCATACAGTCATGGGTGCTATACTTGTGATAAGATGTTAAGTGTTTGGTTTATGGTTTCTTATTTTCTTAACTATGAATGGCTCCAAACTCTCTTTGCTTTACCATAGAATAAATTTTCTTTTCAAAGCCACAATTCTTTTCAATTTCCTTTGGAGGAAGGAGGAAGAAAGGAGAGAGAAAAAGTTCAAGTTACATTCTGAGTAAAAAATCTGTTATTTCCAAGAGAAATTGATTGTTGTTTTTTTTTTTAGAAATTTACATGAGCTTGAGGTTGAAATGGTTGAATAAAATGTTCAATGATAACAAGTTTGCTACATTGTTCCTGGTTTGGGGTTTTGTTTGTTCATTTATTTGTTTAGTAAGTTTCCAGTTGTTTATCAAGCTGGAGTCAGGCTAAGTGTGTCCTGTCCTATTTTCCAGGTGTTCTTGGGCGCCTTATCTTTTGTTTACTTTGCCAAAGCACTGTCAGGAGGCTATCTGAAGAGCACCATCACTCAAATAGAGAGAAGGTTTGAAATTCCTTCCTCCTTGGTGGGCGTTATTGATGGGAGTTTTGAAATTGGTAGGTATTGCAGATGCCTGGCTTTTAAGCACAAGGTCTTCTAGGGCTGAGTAAAGGACATCTTCACTGTAATTTGTTCTCTCTAAGCAACCAGCGATATATTCCAGGTGTTAAATACTCTACGAATCATCCATTTCAGAGTCCTCATTCAGGGTTAGAGACTTTCCTGGAGGAGAGGGTGAGATACTCTCAGTATTTTGAGTTTAAAAGTATGTGGGGACTGTCTTTACAGAAGTCATTTATCCTGGAAGTTCTGTGGTTCAAAATTCAGAAGAATCCATATAGGCTGTATTAAATTCATTGTAATTATTGAAGAAGTTAAACCATGAAAGGGGGATTTCTGCCCAGTAGTCTAGAAAGAAGAGAGAGGAATTCTGTTGACAAGACTAGAAGAGCAAAGCAAATAATGAAATTCTACACTCAGCTATCCGGCTTGGCTCAATGGATAGAGCATCAGACTGCAGACTGAAGGGTCCCATGTTCAATTCTGGCAAAGGGCACATGCCTGGGTTGTGGGCTTGATCCCCAGTAGGGGGTGTGCAGGAGGCAGCCGATGTTCCTATCTCCATCTCCTTCACACTTCCCCTCTGAAATCAATAAAGAAATATACTTTTAAAAAAATTCTACCCTCAGGTGCCTTCAGTTAGCAATTGACTGTGGACAACCTCTTGGAATTTGAAAAGACCAATTGAGTTAAGTCAAAGTTTTAGGAGTAATTTAAGAGGTATAACCCCAGTTAGTCAGCTTCTTGATTGATAAATTAAGAGGCATTAATTCTTTGCTAATGGGGAATAGTAGCTCTGTGGTTATTACTTCCAATTGAGACTCAGATATATCTATAGTAAAATCTTCAATGGCTACAGTTTCAGCTTCACTTGATAACTTTCAGGTCAGCGAAGGAATATTTTAACTCTTCAACAATTGCTATTTTGAATTCATACTACCTAATCCAGTTTTTAACTTTGAAAATCACAGAAAGAATTAAAAGAATGCATAGTTCACATCTGGCTTTTGGGCATTTGCTGCTTAAATCTTTCAACATTCTACCAGAATGAAATGTCTAAGTTTAGTGCTCATCATATGGTCATGTTCATACACATGACTAGGCCAGCTTGTTAATACATAGATACTGATTCTGTAGGAAGGGAAATGAGATTCTGCATTTCTAAGAAACCCCAGGGCATGCTGATGCCGGGGATGGGCTTGTGGGACAGTGTGAAGTCTGCAGTAGCGCATACCAATGTCCTGAGCCTTCACATTCACTCACAACTAACTCACTAACTTTCCCCGAACAACTTCTAGTCTTTCTACCTCCCATTTTTGGTAAGCACCCTATACCATTTCTGTCTCTGGTATAGTGTATTTTACTGTGCCTTTCCTATATTTAGATATACAAGTACTTACCATTGCATCACAGTTGCCTGCAGTATTCAGTACAGTAACCATGCTGTGCAGGTTTGTAGCCTCGGAGCAATAGGCCACACCAAACAGCCTGGGTGTGCAGTAGGTTAGGACATCTCAATACAATATTGACTTCTAAAGGTTACCTGTATGCGGCAACCTTGTTTAATTTTTGTTCATTTTAATTGATTGTCTGTAGATGGTGTAGAGTTTTCTGAATAGACAGTTATATTGTTTGAAACATAAGATGATTTTATATTATTCTTTCTAAATTCATAGATCTGTTATTTATTGGTTTTGTCTTATTTCTTTGGCCTCAGTATTAGGATGAATAAAAGCAGTGAAAATGGGCACCCTTCTCTCATATCTGACCTCAATAAAAATGCTTTTAAAAGTTCACAGATAAGCAATATGTTTGATTGTGGTTTTCATATATATGCCTTAAACGTTAATTTGCTCATGTTTTTTTTCTTATTATAAATGAGTGGCTAATTAGGTTGAATGCTTTTCCACATATGTTAAGATAACTATAGTTATGTTATTATTTTCTTTTTTGTAATACCTCTGTACTCCTAGAATAAACTATATTTGGTCTTTTCTTTTATTGTTCTTGTGTAGCCTTGATTTCAAAAAATATTAGTCTTATAAGGTGAGTTGAGGAGTTTTCTATTATCTAAAATGCTATGTGTATGTGGAATCTGTTACTTGAAAGTTTGGTAAAACATATTTTTAAAACTCTGTGGAACTGTTGTTTTTTGAGGGTCTAGTGAGGTAGATGTGAAAGAATTTTGATATCCAATTCAATCTTTTAAAGACCATTTATCACCATTTATTCTTCAAGTGTATCTTCTGAAAATTCAAAAAGGATACTAAGTAAAAGAACATAATGTTTATCTAGATATCACAGATGCTGAAATGATATCATGCAGTATTTGGCATATCCACTAATGTAACACAAAACAGACTATAAATATTGAGTCCTCTATTGTGAGAGTGGTGGTGTCGGAAGTAGGAAGGGGAGATGGCGTAGGTAGACACATTATTTATAAACTGAAAACAGGCTTTGTTTGGTATGTTTTTACTGTGACACTTTAACAAAAATATAGACATAATTAGCAATATATGTAACACAAAATTTCCTCTACTAAATTCTTAGATGTCAAATGAGAATTCTCATACTCAATGTCTTTTAATATGAAAATTAAAAGGAGGTTAAATCTTCTGAGAGCCATAAAGCCTAGAGCCACTATGTAATCAACTTTCCTCACTATCATTATTGTCCTCAAGGCTAGAAAAATTGCTGTTCTTTTTGCACTTGACTAACGCTGGCAATGTGAATAAACAGTAGTAAATTAGATGATTGCTTGCAGATGTAAGGAAATACTCTTGCTAAAAAAAGAAATTGGAAGCATCAAGAAGGACTTTAATGCAAGACAACCCATCAGCTATCATAATCAATTATTGCTAAGTTCTTGCTCTAACACTCTAGCACTTAGAAAATTAAATATTCAAAATGCAAATAGTTAAAACTTTAAAGTCCTTTAATATCCAATACCCTAAACAGTGTTTATCAAAATATGTTCCAGGAACCATCTTCACCAACACATTTGAGCTAGGATTAAAAATGCAGATTTCTTGGCCTGCCCTCAGATCCATGGACTCAGAAACTATCAGGAGCTACCGAGAGTCTGCATTTTTAATATTTCTATATCCCTTATCACCTTGTTCCAGGAATTTTGTGCAGAGGAAAGCAAGAGGACATCATCCCTAAAGCATGGTTAGCCAATTGTCTTCATCATCACATGCATCTTCAGAGACATTTTAGAAAGGCCTAATTCAACCTTCAAAAAATATTTCTTAATTATTTTTTTATAAAGAGCTGTGTATAATTTGTGAGATTTTTATATCTCATAAAATTTGTATTATAAGTATACATGAAAGTTATATAATTGATATATTCCTAAAGTTTGTGTAGTGCAATTTGTACTTCTATTTTGAATCTTATCTTTTTGTAAAAAGGATATAAACAAATTCTAAATATCATTCGTAAAAATATGAATTTTATAATTTGATTTCATTTAAGGTGAGGTTCAGTTGTTTTACTTTTTCTTACTAGTTTATATTCAGCTAAAGCAAAAATATGTGATGTGTGTTTCAAGAGAAAATGGGAAACTATACGAACTTTTATTAGAAAACATTAATAAATGAAGAAACAATAATAAAGTTTACTTCCAAATCAGCAAAGAAAATTTCAGAGAACAGCTGAAGGATGCCTTTTACAATTTGATTAATGATAAAACACTTCATTAGGGTGTGTGAAAATGAAGTAGAAGGCTTGGTCATTAAAATATTCTGACAAAGAGGTAACATGATTGAAGTAATGAGTGAAAAGACAATTTCAACAGTCATCTCAGTTTAAAGGAAAGAAAGTCAAATGATAGGAATGATGGTGGGGACAGTTTAGTCACAACAAAATATGGCTAGACTTGCTGTAGACATTTGTTCATTGATTTAACCTCATTTAGTTATTCTGCTGACTTTTTCTAAGTTCTCTAACGTATGAACATTTATTCTTTTCTCCCAAGGGAATCTCTTAGTTATAACATTTGTTAGCTACTTTGGAGCCAGACTTCACAGGCCAAAAATAATTGGAGCAGGCTGCCTGATTATGGGAATCGGAACGTTGCTCATTGCACTGCCTCAGTTCTTCATGGAACAGTGAGTCAAATGCAGTAATCCTGTTCTTGCTGTAACCAACAGCTGCATTTCTCTTCTTATGGTTACAATTAATTATTTAACTGTTATAAAATGGCACCTGATAAATACTATCTTATTTTTATTGTATCCTCTTTGGTCAAAATTTCAGAGCACTTGCATTTTACTTATAATTTAATCTGTAAAGATAAAAAAATTTGATATACTACTATGTCAACAAAATTAAAGGAAAATTTTCACTTATATGTCTTCATTTAAATGCTTTAGTGTAGCTGTGGATGCAAAAAATATAAGCAAAAATAAATTAATATATTATGCAATAAATGTCAAATAGTGTCAAATGGGTGTCAAAGGGATAATGAGTGAGTGAAAGGTAATATGCTGGATCATGGTACACTTGACTGGCAGGACATTGACATAAGGATATGTTATCAACTCAAAATAACTATTCAATTTACAAATATTATCTCATACCACTTCCTCAATAAAAGTGGGATGTCTGTACCCTTGAACTCTGAAATATACTTTTGGGACTTTGTTAGGACAATTGTTAGTACCTGTATACAACTTTAGTAGTTTCAAAGGTTTTTCATCTTTATTATATCACTAGTGGCCCAGGAAGCACAAAATCATGTGCAAGTAACTTGCTTCCACTTGCCTCAGCTGGTCACCCAGACCAAGTTTATATTTTTTTTACTTTAGAGCTAAGGGCATGATATAAAGAGCCTGGTGACTTTCTCCTGTTTAGGTGTCTTATATTAAAGCATTGAACTCCCAAAATATGTATTCTGACTTCTTTATGCATATCCATGTTACCTCCCTTCTCTGTGCTTACCTATTGCTGACTGAGAGAAGCGACTTCCGAGAGGTGTAGAAATAAGAAAATAATTTTAAAATTATGTATCAATTAATACTTTAATGATTGCCCACGCAGATCAATACATTGTGACACTTTAGAGCTAGAGAAACTTAGAAATGATCTGGTCCAAACTTTTCTGCAGATTCCCAGGTCACTCCTATACCTAGAGTCAGGTTTTGGCCTTTGTGGCCAGTCTGTAAAGGTGGTGCACGGAATCCTTTGTGTGGGATCTTTTCTACCTCTTTGGGTGGTTTCCCTCTACCCTCACTTTTACTTGGAGAGAGATTCATGGCTTCAGGGCTTCTGCCTGCTCTTTGGACATATCGCTGGCCTCCTTTCCACGGAGGCAGAAGTTTCCTCGGATCACTGAGGTTCTACAAAGGTTTTATGTGGTCCAATGCCTAAGGGAGAGGCTGAGGAAATGGGTCTCAAATCCACCTGAGAGAAGTGTATCTAAGAGAAAGCCAGCCAGGCAGCCAGGCTAGTACTGACAAAGGATGCCAAAGGGACAGAAAGAGATTCATATTCACCACCTTTTACATGTTGAAAGATATATTTGTTTACTCATTATTTAGTGTCCGCCATTTGCCTGGTGCTGTGTCAGGTAATGGGACTACTTTACTGAAGAAAAAAAAATTAAAATAAACAAACATACACACGCTTCATAAAGTTTGTTATTTACTGTGGATTATTACAAAAACTTGTTTTCAACCTTCTATAGGATGAGTCACAAATTGGGTACTTGTCCAAATATAATTTTTGTTCTCCAAAAGACTACCTACTATATATGCTCTGTCTGCCTACCAGCAATACCCTTAATGCCCAACAAATAATATTAATCATGGATATCAATTACTAAGGGCCTGCCCCCAAGAGGCTGTGCTTAGCTTTATGTATGGTGGGTAGGTCATCTAACTCATGAATTTAAGAACTATATATTGATTACTGTTCTAAGAAATAAGGATAAAGTAGTGAAAAATCTCTGCTTCCATAAATCTTATGAGGAATAGACAATGAGCCAACAAGTCATGAGATAGTAAGTCAGATAATGTTAGAGAAAACCCAATAAGGCACAGAAGGAGTATGTGTGTAGCAGGTTGCTATTTAACATAGGATTGTCAGGGAATGGCTCACTGAGATGGTGACATCTGGGAACAACTGAAAGAGATGAAAGGGAGAGCTACACAGTTGTCTGGGGAGGAAGATTCTAGGCACGATGAGCAGTGAATGCAAAGATTTTGCAGCAGGAGGGAGCTTGGGTGAACTGTAAGGAGCCTTGTGACCCAGTGGGATGACGCAGGAGAAAGTGTACAAAAAAAAAAAATGGGTGAAGATGTCAAGCTTGTTTCTCAAACTTCGATGGACATTTCGCTGGAGGCTCTTGGTAAAATGTAGACTTGAGACTCAGCTGATGCTGCTGGTCTGCACACCATACCTTGAGTAGTAACATGGCAAACAATTGCAGGGGCTTTAGCTTCATCTGGAATGACGTGAGAAACCAGTGGGAGTTTTGAGCAGAGGGGCATGATATGACATATTTTAAAGGGTCACATTGAGTACTGGTTGGAAAAGTAACTCTGGTGGAGCAAACTTAAAAGCAGGGAAACTATTTACAATAGTCACTATAGAGATTAGCTCTCCAAAGCTGCTATAGAAATTTCATGCATCAGAATTAAGATTGTGTCATCCATGGTTTGAATCCATGTTAGAACTAAAATCCATACTTTTAAAGCATTTATACCCTGGGTCCCCTTTCCATTACTTCTTTGTCTCCTTTTCTAGCCAACTTCAATGGACATATTTTTTCCACCAAGAGAGTATGTGATTTACAGTCATTTATATTAAAATGAATTTCTATGAATAATTCTTATTTTTATTTTCTCTCACTACAATGGATAATTTTGGGGTTCAAATAGGGTGCAACACCTATGAACCGGATTTTCTGGCAATATATTCATAAAACTGTGCTATTAAACACTGGTTTGGTTTGGGGATTCGGGGATAGCTGAGAATTTAAACAAGTACCCTAATGAGTCATGTAGTATACATGCAATATTTTTTGTATGATACTAAATGAGCCTGTAGTAAAGAAAATGTTCTTTTTATACAGGTACAGATATGAAAGATATTCTTTCTCCAATTCCACTATTAGCACCTCTCCATGTCTCCTGGAATCAAACAGTCAATTAACAACCTCGGTTATGGAAAAATCACAATCCAAAATAAATAATGGTAAGATTATTTCATTTTTATTTTAATGGCTAGGAAAGATTTTTTTAAAAAAATACTTTGCCCTACCTGGTTTGGCTCAGTGGATAGAGCATCAGCTTGTGGAATGAAGGGTCCCAGGTTCGATTCCGGCCAAGGGCTTGATCACAAGTAGGGGCATGAAGGAGGCAGCCAATCAATGGTTCTCTCTGATCATTGATGTTTCTATCTCTCTTTCCCTCTCCCTTCCTCTCCAAAATCAATAAAGATTTTTTAATAAAAGACTTTATATGTTCTTTATTATGGACAAAATATCTATATAATTTTTGCTGTCTAAAGCTTTACTACTTATATCCTAGCCAGTTTGGCTCAGTGGATGGAGTGTCAGTCCACAGACTGAAGGGTCCCAAATTCAATTCCAGTCAAGGACATGTAGCTTGGTTGCAGGCTCCATCCCGGGTCCTGGTTGGGGGTGCATGCAGGAGGCAACTAATCAATATTTCACTCTTTCTGTCTCTCCCCCTTCCTTCTACTCTCTCTAAAAATCAATGGAAAGATAGCTTCGGAAGGAATTAACAACAATAACAAAAAAGCTTTACTAAGACTGAGATGTTATAGTGCCATTAAAAAAAAAATCCTAGAATCTGAAGCAGTATATGATGAGATCCTAAGAAAATGCATATATATGAGCTAAGTGACCATTCTGACCAGACTGGGAGCTATGATGTGCACTGACCACCAGGGACCAGATGCTCAACGTAGGAGCTGCCCTGTTGGTCAGTGCATTTCCACAGCCAACCTCCCATGGCTGGCCAACCTCCCACAGTCCCTCCCCTCAGCTGGCCCAATCACCAACCAGGCTGAGGGACCCCCACTTGTGCAAGAATTTGTGCACTGGCCCTCTAGTAAACAATAAAATCTTATGGGACAAGGAGCATTACTGGGTGACTGCAGAAAGCCTTCTGGTGGTTTCAAATAAGGCAGGCCATGATATTAGGATAAAACTAGTTTAGCATTTCATTTTTTCTGATAACTCAATTTAATTTCTATGTTCAGCCTCTCTTCATCAGTATAGCAAAAACTTAATTTCAGTCAATTTTTCCCTAATCTTCACCCTTTTCCCAGGGGCTGCTTACATTCTAAGGAGGTTAGATAATAGTATAAGGGGAAGTTATGGGAAGAGTATGTTTGGTGTTATTTGGTGCCCTGTATTCCTAGACATCTAATCCTTCTGGCCACAGTGTTTGATCATACATGTCACCTTAGAGTTACCTTGTGACCATGTCTGTGTTCTTTTAGCCCAGCAGCTCTCTGTTACAGGAGTTATTGTCTTAGAAACATGGATATAATTCTACTTTCTACACAAGATAGGAGTTGGGGAATTTAAAAAAAAAATTTTTTTAAATTTATTTTTATTGATTTTTTACAGAGAGGAAGGGAGAAGAATAGAGAGCTAGAAATGTCGATGAGAGAGAAACATCGACCAGCTGCCTCTTGCACACCCCCTACTGGGGATGTGCCTGTAACCAATGTACATGCCCTTGATCAGAATCAAACCCGGGACCTTTCAGTCCGCAGACCGACGCTCCACCACTGAGCCAAACTGGCTTTGGCAGCAGTTGGGGAATTTTGTTAGAATGATAGAGTTCCATGTGGCTGATGCACATTGTACAGCAATGATATGTATGAGTCACCCCTGGGGACATGGGGATCATCTCTTCTGTGTTAATGTAGATGGTGGAAACCCTGTGAGGAGCTAAAGATAGAAATACTTAGCTATATTGTGCAACCAGTTCATGTTTGGGGGTCTTACCACCTCCCTGGACTTTGCCTGCTCGTGGTGGCACAGGTTCTTCTCATTCGTGGAATCCGGAAGGCATCCACAAGTGTTTGTCACTGCAAAGGCATCCTCTTCCTCCCCCTTCAGCACCAATAGATCAACTCTTACTCCCCAACACCCCTGATCTCACTTCCTATTCCTAGATTGGAATCGATTTCTACAACGTATGGAAGAATTCCTTTTATATATCTTCTACCCATAAAAATCTTTTATCAATATCTTAAAACCCATTCACTCCTCTAATGTCCTTATTAATGCTTTCTTTTGAGATATCTTTTTTTTTTCTGGGCAGTGAACACTAGTAGTTTGGCTGTTTGAATGGAGGAAAGGGGCAAAGGATTAAAAGAAATATGGAAATATGAGGAGAGAATGTCAGTGAGGACATGCTGGACATAAAGAATATTATGGATAATAAATTTAATTCACATAAAGAGACAAGAAACTGAGCTGAAGAGTTTGAGTTTTCATCTGCATACCATGGTCAGTCATTGAAGATACTTTATTTTGGTTTTGTTTTAGATAATCAGGGAAGAAATATGATATAAATGACAATATAGACTATTAAGAAATATATAAACCTTTAATGTTAAAAAATAAAAATACGGTTTAGAGATGGGGAATGAAAATGTTTTTTAATGTAAAGAGATGTTATTAAGTCAGACACAGAGTATAAGACTCACAACTCAATCCTTTTCTTTAAAGTCACAAACATATGTGGACAATAGACATAATGAACACAAGGCTCATCCTGAAGATGTTAGTGAGGCAAATGTAAGACTCTTCTCAACACACATTTCCCTGTTACCCTACCCCCGTCCCCACCCCCAATAATACTCTAGAGCAGATGTGTTCCATGGAACTCTCTGGGGTGATGAAAATTCTCTATATCTACACTGTCCAATACAGTAGCCATTAGCCACATGTGACTATTAGGTACTGGAAAGATAGCTAATTTGACTGGGCACTGAAATTTTACCTTTATGTCATTTTAATTAATTTAAATTTTCATTGCCTTGTTGCAGAAGACCAAAGAAAAACAAGCAACACTTTAAAAGAAAAGAAGGGACACTGTTTAATATGCCAGCAGACTCAGGGAATAACTTTCCAAATCTGAGTGAAGTAACATGCAGGGGGCTTCTCTTTATATCTCCCTGTGGTCTTTATCACGCAAATATAGATTATGCTTCTGGTCCTTTTCGCGGGCCTTGCAAGAAGGGCCCCCAGATGTTGGGGGTCTCCAGGCCACATCTGATGGTCTGGCCTGGTGCCAGTGTTAATAACTCTCCCTTCGGGGCAGTGCACTATTCACAGTTTTATGGCCTCTGTAACAGGTTCTGTGAAACCAGTATCTGGGAAGGAGGTAGTGACTTAATTATAGGTCATCAAGAATGTACACTGAGCTTGCTGGCATGGATTCCAATTGCTAGCCCCCAAATATCAGGGTTGCATTCAAATTAGCCCTTTTTAGTCGTCTCAGCCTCAGGTGGCTTGTGACTACTCTATTGGAAAGCACAGATCTAAGATGTCTACATTTATCTGTAAGACTTACCAACAAGCTTCTTAAAACAACAATAATAAATGTTAGGGCTAGAATTGACATTAGAATCAATTTTTGGTAAAGGAATTCCCATCATATTTTGGGGAATGGAAGCGAAATCTAGAGAAGGTAAGTGAAAAGCCCAGGATCCCTTGGCTACATTTCTAGGAGTGGCAGAATCAAGACAGGAATTTGCAAAACACAGAGTTCTTTTGTGTTTTGCAATCATATTTAAGCACATGAAAGCATTCACTTCAATTCTTTTTTTTAATGTTTTTTTTTTATTATTATTATTGACTTTAGAAAGAGAGGAAGAGAGAGGGGTAGAGAGATAGAAACATCAATAAGAGAAGAACATCATCAATTGGCTGCCTCCTGCTTGTCCCCTACTGGGCATCAAGCCCACAACCTGGGCATGTGCACTGACTGGGAATCAAACCCTGACCTCTAGGTTCCTGGATTGATGCTCAACCACTGAGCAACATTGGCTGGGCACCCCCCGGTTCTTTGTAACCCATGCTTTGCCTTCAGAAATAGTTTTACTGATTACCAATAGGTGAAAGTAACTCATACCTCATTGAATTCTTAGGTGAATTCAATTTAAAAATGCCCACAGAGCACTTAGTCCAGTGCCTCACAGAAAGGGAGCATTCAGAGTGGTGATTGCTGGAGTTGGTGAATATCCTTTTTATTAAGGTGACTAAACTCTTGAATGAATATTTCATTTAAGATATATTGTCCAACTTCACATATTTATATTAAGGCATGGCTTTTATGAAAGCATTTGAAAATTGTTACCTTTGAATTTCACTCTAAAAATACATCCAATGTTTCTTGTTAGAATAGCTATACTACAAAAGCTTATAGGGTTTTTAATTTTTATATGATTTTTTTCTAAACATGAGCTCTAAAGATTGTTATTCATTATCAAACAATTATAATTATAGGCAATGCTACCCAAAGTTGAAGTGTCAGCCATCTAAAATTTTGAATTTCAGATAAAACTTTGTCAGCAATAAAATTACAAGTGATTTTTGCAACAAAAAAACAAAAATAGAAAAATTTTAAAGATTAAGGCAAGAAAAGTCTTTGTTCAAATTTTTGTGTTTTGTCTTAGGAGGATATTGAAGATTATTGGTGTGTAGGAATTCCAAGAACTTAGTTTAAGTATGAAATAAAAAGAAGAGAGAAAATAAGAAGGAAGGAACAGGAACAAGAAGCAATAGAGTTCCTTGATCGAAGTCTCTGGGGGACTTACACAGTACCTAAACTATTGAAGTTACGAAACACATTTCCCAATCTTGCTCAAGCCTCTCAAACTATGTCTTATTTTACTTTGACATTCTAATCCAATTTTAGGACAACTTGCAGAAAAGCAGAATAAATACTTAACTTTTCATTGTAACGTTATTTCATTCGTCTTGTTTGCTTTCCTTTCTTTTTCTTTTTTCTTTCCTTTCAAGAATGTGAAATCGACACCAGCTCCTCCATGTGGGTTTATGTTTTTCTGGGGAACCTTCTTCGTGGGATTGGAGAAACTCCTATTCAGCCCCTCGGCATCACCTACCTAGATGATTTTGCCAGTGAAGACAATGTGGCTTTCTATATTGGTAATGCCCACCTCATTTATCTTCTCCCAAAAGCAGGGTGCCTGCCTTTCTCGGCTCCATTCTAAACTAAACTGGGTATGGAAGGCTTTTCACTTCATACCCAAATCCTTTATTCAGTTCACACATTTCTGAAGTCCACGGTCAGGATTTGGATAGTATAGAAACTTCCAATAGAGGACTCTATTGCATTAGGGAAAGAACATCAAGTTAAAGGAAAATAACTGAGCTCCAAGGCAATGATATATATATGACCTTGTGTAAGTATCTTCACAGACTTCATGGACGACAGAAGCATGTAGGTGACATATTTATATCTCAGAGAGTCAGTCCTTGTGTTATTTTCTTACTAAGAGGTAATTAATGGCTTATAAGTGTTCATTCTTCTTCCAAAGCTAAGAACTTATTTCCTAATTCAATGAGGTTGAAAAATTGACAAATTGAGTACACTTAAAGAGTTGATGAAATATTTTCAGTTACTAACCAGATCTCATTCCACATGTCTTGTTTACAAATTTATTAATTTACAAAAGCAAAGAAATGGTACCTTATTACTTAAGTTTTTAATTTTTATTTATTTTTATTCTTTTGGTACAGGGTGTGTGCAGACGGTGGCAATTATAGGGCCAATCTTTGGCTTCCTGTTAGGCTCATTATGTGCCAAACTGTATGTTGACATTGGCTTTGTAAACCTAGGTAAGGGAATGAATGTATTGTTATTTGTTCACTTGTTTTACTGCAATTTTATAATGGATGGGGTAGAAAATAGCAATTAGACTTTTTATAAAATGAGAGGATAGTAATCTTTCATAAAGTAAAAATAGGCCATGAAAAAATTTATTGTTTATAGAATTATTAGGCACAGTAATAAATGGAATATGAAAATAGGTGGTAATTAGAACTGGATGGCCCCTGGTGTATGCTTTTTCACTTTGGTTAGCCAGTTCAAATGCTCTCCATCATAGCTATGACTACACATGGTGCCTACTTGTTGGCTCTTGTTGGATTCAGGTGTATCAACATTTATTATAGTCACATCAATTGATAATGTGTTTATTGACTCGCCAGAAAAACCAAGGATTGAAAGTCTCTGGCAACCAAAATTCCCTTCTTTACTGTACAACTCTTTCTTAGGCAGAGGCGTATGTCATGAGACTAGCCTTCCTTCTGTGGGAGTGCTTGTGTAAGAAATAAATGTGGTCCTCATCTTTCCATAGCTATTACTTTATTTCTTTCCTTGTAAAGTGGACCCCTAGAAACATAGAGTATTTTTTGTGTTTTGTTTTTAAAAAGAATTTCAAGGAAGCACTTAGAAAAAGTATACTATTTTTTTTTAATTTTGGCATTACACTTTGAAATTATTGTATTAAAATAGAATGCAAACCTCTTGTATTAGTTGTTCTTCTTTAATCAAATAAAATGCAGGCATATTCCAAAATTTTTATCTATTTATTCATTCGTTAATTTATTAACCTCCAAATTTTTCCTTTACATCTATTTTATCCCAGGTATGATTTTATCACAGTGAACAAAATAGCTGAGTTTATTGACTCTTTGAATTCTACAGTCCAGTCACAGAGACTGATATAGACAAGGGATGATAAGTTGATAAGCGCTACAGAGGAAAATGGTTAAGGGGAAGCAATGAAGATGTAGCGATAAACTTGTAGGTACATTTTACCGAGTAGAATGTAGTGGCTATTGAGCTGAGTTATTAAAAGACATGTGTTTTTGTTGTTGTTGCTCTCATAGAGGGTGGTGCAGGTAGAGTATAGTAATATGTCTTATAGGTTCTTATATTTAAGAAAAATAACTGGTTAAAAAACTATCAATTCCCACCTTTTATTTCAATAAAAAGTGGTGTCAAACATAGTAAAGTTTCTATGAGATTATATTGTTTTATTTACATATGCAAATCTTGCTTCAGGGCTATAAGTATTATGAAACGCCATTTAGTAAATAGCATTTATAGTGCGTTAGACTAGATTTGGGCAGGATATAACTTTTTCTTTTAGCAAAATCTTAGACCTTCCATTTGTAAATCAGGAAATGTGCTGATGTGGCGTAGCTGGGAGAGGGTTTTGGACCCTCCTAACTCTCCCTCACAGGTCACTTTCCCTCTGCCACAGGCCCAGGGGTCCCTCTGCAGAACCTCAGAGCAGAGTTTAGAACCCCCTGGTTCCCATCCAGCATTTAGACTCTATATTTATAATCTCTGGAACAACAAAATAAATAATCATGCCCCACTCTCTTTCCTTCAAAAAGCCTGATAATGTTCAGGTTAGAAAAAGTAATGCAAGAATGATTAGGTATTTTGGTAATGTGATTGAGCTGATGCTAGGATTTTATTTTTAAAAAGAGGCTTATTTCAACATATTAGCTTTGCTATATATGCCACTCAGCCAAAAATCCTGTCTCTTTTTCAGATCATGTCACCATTACCCCAACAGATCCCCAGTGGGTAGGTGCCTGGTGGCTTGGTTACCTAGTCGCAGGAGTCATCAGTCTTCTTGCAGCTGTGCCTTTCTGGTGTTTACCAAAGAGTCTCCTGAGACCACAAAGTAAAGAGGATTCCAGTTCCTCCTCTGAGAAATCCACGTTTATTATGGGGGATCACACAGAATGCCAAACACCCCATCGAGAAAAAGCAAAAATGATAGAAATGGCAAGAGGTGAGCCAGATTTTTAAACATTTTCAGTGTTTTCCTGTTCGGACTTTATAGGGTTGTATAAGTCATACCCCCTCTCCCCTTCATGTGTTCATAAATAAATAAATAAATAAATAAATAAATAAATAAATAGACACAGAGAGAGAGGGGGGAGAAGGAGAGAGAGAGAGAGAGAGAGAGAGAGAGAGAGAGAGAGAGAGAGAGAGAGAGAGATTATGTAGGAATCAGAAATGAAGATTTCAAAGTCAGCACTATTACTAGAAAGCAACTGAAGAACATGACCCAAAGTCTTGGTAACCTTCCTTGTTGACATATCCATCCACACTCCTCAGTGGAGACCTTGCAACTGCCACAATAGGGTTGCTGTTTCATAGCAGTCTGGGTGGGCAGAAAAAAAAAGAGTGAATCTTCTGGGCTGCGGCCTTTAAAACAAATACCATCCACCCATTTGAGAAATGTATATCAGTGTATGTTTCCTATCAGTGATGAAAGGAGCAAGTGTGGTGTGTGGTAAAACCACACACGTTCTAGTGAATTCCCCACACGTGGTAATGGGTATCCATGATGAGCAAGCATAGTTTTCCTCAATGGGCCTGGAAGGGTCCCAGTGAGCAATATTTGAGCTTATTTTAGGTTATATAATTTATATATAACAATCTGGAATAATGGGCACTTAGCAGATGCTAATCTAATAAATTCTGTTTAGACTATTCTTCCTCTACAATGTAAGGGTCCCAGTGAGCAATCTTTGCCTTTCTCACTGTTTAGCTACATAATAGGAAGCAGGGAGCATGCCAAAGTTCGTTTCTTAAACTAAAGTCCATACATTAAATGGAGACAACGTTCATATGCCTTTTCCTGTGACCATGAACCAAATTTGAAGAATAGACCCAAAAACTGAAGTTCTTGATGTTCTGCCCGTGACTCCCTGCTCTGAGTGAGGGAGTCATTAATTCTTCTTGCCCTTTACCCGCTTCAGTTAGAGGAGTCTGTTTTTGTCTGACTTATACCTCCTGCATTATGATATAGATTTTTTTGCCCGTAGAAGCATGCTCTACGTCTAGCTCTGAACTGGCCAGCTCTCATCCTTGAATCGTGCCAATGACTTGTATGTACAGTGTGAATGTCTACCACACTGTAACTGCAGCTGACAGTGGAACTCAGTCACCTAAGCCCTGCTACCATGGCTCTATCTTCTGCCAGTATGACTGTCTTTGATCACTCCATGTTGTTTTTGTCTTACAGATTTTCTTCCATCGCTGAAGAATCTTTTAGGAAATCCAGTGTACTTCCTATATTTGTGTGCAAGCACCGTTCAGTTCAATTCTTTATTTGGCATGGTGACATATAAACCAAAGTACATTGAGCAACAGTATGGGCAGTCATCTTCCAAGGCCAACTTTGTTATCGGTATGCTCATCTTCCTTCATGCTTTCCAATAGGTACTACCAGCTGCAACCTGTTAACTCTTAGTCCCTTTAGAAAAAAAAATGTTCCAATATTTAAACTAAATGTAATTTATGGTATTTTAGATAGGAAGTTAACAAACAAAAAAAGTGAGTAATCCCTGACCAGTTTGGCTCAATAGATAGAGCGTTGGCCTGCGGACTCAAGGATCCCAGCTTTGATTCCGGTCAAGGGCATGTATCTTGGTTGTGGGCACATCCCCAGTAGGGAGTGTGTAGGAGGCAGCTGATCAATGTTTCTCTCTCATCTATGTTTTTAACTCTCTATCCCTCTCCCTTCTCCCTGTAAAAATCAATAATATATATATATATATATATATATATATATATATATATATATAATTTTTTTAAGTGAGACAAAATAATCTAGCAGGATAAAATGTTTAGGTAGTCTGTGGTACAACTTTCTAGCAAAAAAAAATGTTCACAACTATGAAAATATCACATAGATCACATGCATTTTATTTAGATTCTTAATAATGGATAGATGTCTTTCAAGTGCACCCAAAATCTCATAACAGTGGACATTTTACCTGAAAACTCTCTACAGTTGTAAAAAGGGGACATTTATATAGTTAAAGGTAAGCATTACAAAACAAAGTTGTATTCACTCAGTCTAAAGACTTCTGGCTCCTGGCACTTGATTATTTAAAGGGGCCATGTGTCTAACATGGCAGTACAGTCAAATAATAAGATAATCAAGGGCAAAGAAAAGAATGAAGAGCAGAATCTACAAATACATAAATACCACCCTGTAAGTAACTGGATACTTTGAAAACCTGGATTAGTTACTTTAGTTTTAATTTAATGGTACTGTTTCAAGGCATAAACTATATTCTATTTTTTGAACATACCCCTTAAGATAGGAGTCTCCAATAGTTTAAAATAACTGACTCTTTTAAAAATATTTAAAGAATTGCTCTATGTATCTGTCTCTGAAAGAAAACTTGGTGGGGGGGGGGAGTGGTTGGGGGCATCTTGAGCTTATTTTAGGTTATATAATTTATATATAACAATCTGGAATAATGGGCACTTAGCAGATGCTAATCTAATAAATTCTGTTTAGACTATTCTTCCTCTACAATGTAAGTATTCAAGCTATATCACAGAACTTTTACTTTCAACATTAATCAGTTCAAATTCATTTAATTTTATTATTCAACATCCCTAACATTTATTTTGATAATCTATAGAATGGTGAAAATAAATATATCATTTGGTTGAAATAAAGACTTAAAAATATAAAATACACCATAAATGTACATAGCTGTCATATAATATCTTTTCTCTTCTGACTTATTCCTTTCTCTTTTCTCCATTTTTTCCTTTGGGCTTTGGATAATGATCCTTTCTGTGATGAAATATGGGAGAGACAAGAAGAAAGCACATTCTTTCTCTACTCTCAGAGAAGGCATTTGACATGACACAGAGGAAAAAATAAACTGAAATTTCCCTATGTGTTCAAAGGCTAGCTGTTATAATGATAATTTATTTTTGTTCTACATATTTTGTATGTTTGACATATTCTTTCTAAAGTTTAGAAATAGCATTTTTCATGTTAACTACTTTAATTTTGCAAGGAAAATAAAACAACAAAAATGTTTCAAATCAAGGAGTAGAGAGTATGTCATAAAATTATTATTTTTTTTAATTCTGTGGATTTTAAAAATTTTCCATTGCAATTTTGGCGGAAAGAAATTTGAATAGACAGTTTTCCATTTAAGCCTCTCTATTACTATTAAGTTACATCCATGCAAATGATTTTATCTTTTATTCTTCTTCTTAATACACAGATAGTAATCATTTTTGCTTAATTTCTTAGAAATTTTAAATTAAATAAGGCAATTTCCAGTAGACACAATAGATAATCAATGGTAATGATAATCTTAGAGGCATTACTCCGAAAAGGAAAAATTAATATAATTACTTGGAGAAAAGGTGCTTATAATAGAAAACATTAATTTTTGGTGACTAAGCTAGCATAGCAAATTTAATAATTGTAGTAGGATGTGTTCCAGAATTAGGTAAAGATATATTAAAAATCTGTGAGGTGATGGAATATAATCTTAATTTGTGAGAAAAAATACCCAAGAATGTTATTATACTCAAGAATAATAGCTAGCTTTTATTTTACTTCTTTGCACCGAAATGGCTGTAAGAGTGTGAAAGGTCCCATAATTTTTTCCTTGCATTTTTCTCTCTGTAAAATTCAAATATTAATGTTTATGTATTCTAATATCAGAGTAATATGTGAAGATCCATTATATATCATAATAAGGAATTTTACTTCACTAGGAGGGAAGCTCTGAAAACATCCCAAAGTACTATTGTTACAACTCATTCCTATTTCATCTTAATGGCTAAGGCCATCATGAATCTGTATGGGAATCAAAGTTTCCAGTTTATGTGTTAATTATATTGACCATCTCAAGACATTTAACATATCTCTCATAGCTCTTGTTTAGGCCAATAACAAAGAATAGGTATGTATTCTGAATGGGTGAGGTGAAATAATAACAAATTAGCTGAAATTTCTTTTAGCTTTACCGGTTGGGTAAATATATTGACACAAAAGGAAATACTTGAAATAAATTACAGATGTTAGTGTAATTGAAACTAATATTTTCATTTAGAATATTTAGATGATAACTATTTTAAGGTTGTATGATGTAAGTGTAAAACGAAAAGTGAGTAATGATGAAATCAGAGTAAAAGTTCTATTTCATTAAATGACTTAAATACCAAAGATGAAAGAAAAGAAGCTTTGTGAGGCAAGAAGTACATCTTATCTGATATTCCGGAAATTTGCCATCATCTTGGTCCAACATGGACAGCTTATTGATGCCTATGGAATTTGAAAGGGCTCATCAAGCAGATAGTCTATTTGGAAATGTCCTACTTACCTTTTTTGGAATCTGTTATAATTTAATCATCTTGAAATATGAGAGTTAACATATCCAGAGAAATGTGATAAATGGATAAACTTAGTTTACTCAACTAAGTTTATTTATGTAGTACTTTATTTTGTGGGAAACTGTCTGGGTAAGGAACACAGGATCCTATGATGAGCACAGTTCTTGCCTTGAAGGTTAGATGGGAGGGTGAGAAGTGTGAACCAGACAAGCTAACAGATCATTGGATTAGTACCAAGGCTGCTGCCCACAGGACCCTGCCAAGGGCCTCAAGCTAAGGGGAAAATAGTTTTTTGATGACTATCTTATGCACTCTGATTCCAGATGAGTCTCCTGGAGGCACCACAGGGTTGGTGGGGACAGTTTTAAATACTCCAATTAGGTGAAGCCCAGAGTCCTCCTGAGAAAGACCCTGATCTTGGAATCAGAAAAATATCTCTAGGAGAGGATTTGATACTACTTGGGTAAGCCAAGAGCAAAAGTATACAAAGGTATTAAAAGTTGAAATTATGAGAAGAAGGGTGAGGTTTTGGAAGGACATTGTATCCAACAAAATACGTATTTTGTGCAGAATGTCTTGGAGGCAAGAGAACACATGGAACTTCCTGGCCCTTTAAAAGGTCAGTTAAGAGATGAAAGTCCTGACTTTTAACAATCCACATTGAGAGAGCAATGCCCTGAGAATAACCCCATTTCAATTTTCGGACTCTTCTAGGCCAGATAGGGAAGGGAAAGGTCAATGGAATCCAGCACCATCCTGGAGCTACAAAACAATGGGTATTCTTAATGCTACACCTTATGTCCCAGTGTGAGCTTTACTTTGCAAAATAAAACAAAATCCTAAGCACATTCTTGGAATGTTTTTGTTCAGAGAATGGTTTTCAGGAGGTGTTTTGTTTTTGTTTTTGTTTTTGTTTTTGTTTTTGTTGTTGTTGTTGTTGTCTGTTTGTTTTGTTCTGTTTAATTTTTCAGAAACCTCTTTCAGGGAATAGAATTGAGAGAGAGAGAACAAAAATATACCTCTTTTTGTGTCAATCTTGGACCTGTGAGAAATGATGCAGAAGCAAGTCCTATGTATATGTAAAAATAGGGACTTAAATAATACACAGCAAATATATGACAGCACTTATTTCTTGGGAAGGAAAAGATAACCTGAAACAGAGAATCAGCTTTATGTATTTGCTGTTTAAACAGTCAGAAAAAATTGGGAGAAAATATTAGCATTTACTAACATGGGTCATGAGTAACCAGGTTTAGTGTATTATTTTCTATTACCTGCTCTCTCAAAAAAATTATAATCAGGTGCCTCTTAGCTCATGTTTGGCTGTTAAGGGGCCCATATGCTCCTCTCAGCCTCTTGCCAAACTCACAAACCTCTGTTCAGCTGGGGAAGCAAAAATTAACATTTTCTCTTTTTGCAGTTATGCCCCTTCAAGTGAGTTGATTTCTAATGTGATCATTTTAATGTTAACTTAATGTACAATCAAAGCAAAAGAGATGAAATAAAATGCTCTTATTATCTATTAGTATTTGATGAAAAGATTTTTAAAAATAAAGTCATATAATACGTAGCCAAAGATTGTTATGTATTTAATTTTTTTTTAAAGAAAATTATTTAGGAGACTGGATATATAAATCTAAAAAGAAAGAAAGGAGGAAAGGCAAGTTAGTTTGCTTATTGTAATTTGATTTAATGATGTCTCATCGGGTTGTGAGTCAGAGGCAGGAGACTGGTCATCATTGTTCACCATAGCAGCTGCTGTGCTCAAACCTTCTTTGTTGTCGGGGATTTCTACAAGCTTCTGCCCTTCTCGTAAAAGCTCAAGGTAATGTGGACATCAGTGATTGGTGTCTACACAATATAAAATTTTTTTAAATAGTAGAGAAATGGTTGATCATTGAGTGCCAGATTTCTGTTCTCTAGCATTATTTCCCAATTTATTTTTTTATTAATAAACCTTTATTGTTCATATTATTACAAAAGTTCCTCATTTTTTCCCCCTCCACCAGATTCCTACCCCACCCTCTGCCCTTTCCCCTCCCCCCATTGTCCTCATCCATAGGTGCACAGTTTATGGGGGGCGGGAAGAGACTGAACATATTTCCCAATTTAAATCCAACCAACACAGCACCTTTTTCTCTTTCCTGATGTAGAGGTGTTCCACTCACCCCATCACAGTATTTTATCTTTGTGAATCTGATAGACTGGAATACAAAGGACTTAATGGAATAATATTTTGTGTCAGATACTGTGCTACAAGCATTCCTGTCTTTCAACCACTATTACTAGCTCCATACTGTCGGTGAGCAGACAGGTTTAGAGAAATTTGGAGAATCACCTGTAGTTACACAGCCATTGGGCTGTACAACTGAAGTATAAACCCAGGCAGTTAGGTGTCCAGAGTCCAAGCTTTCAACCACTTTGTTAGACCTCTTCCTCATGGAGCTTTTCAGCCACGTTTGTTTGATTACTAAAGAGGTTGTACGACTGTTGATCAAGAAAACTCTCTCCTAAACCCCTTGAAGGAGAGACGGTATAACGTAGTGATTGAAAGCATAGAACTTGACATCAGACACCCTGTATTTCAGCCTGTTGTCACCACTACCACAAACCAATTGCTCTCTGAAAGTGGAAATGATAATATCCCTACCTCCTAAGGTTATGGTGAAGAGTAAATATGCTAGATAAAATATTCAATGCTTAACTGAGTGCCTGGTACATCATAAGCAAATCATAAATATAAAAGTAATCAAACATACATTGTTTTCCTAGGAAGGATACCAAATTAAGAGGCTAATTCAAATTCACAAAATGATAGATACATTTTTTCTTATTCTCAATGAAAACAAATTTTAGGGGAGCCAGAAAATAGAACAAAAGACAAAAAACAAAACAAACAAAAACAAACAAAAAAAAAAAAAACACCTCTCTGCATTCCCTGTGCCTATTATTTTTTATGCACAACCTTAAAGAACATTAATAGTCACCTAGTTTCTACTTGATTGTACCTGTTAGACCTAAGATTAGGCCAGAAACACATTGATGTATTCAGTATTAATTGATTTCACACTCTATGCTAGACACCGTGTAGTCAGAACTCTGAGACTGTGCTGTCATGAAACTATAATCTAGACAGTCATCAAAATCTCTTGATATGTGTCAGCAGATAATAATAAATGAATATTTCTGTAACTTAAAATGACAACGTCACCTGATAGTATGTCATTAACTATTGCAGTTTTGTATAATCCCTTAGAAAGTTTGTGTGGGTGTACTCAGATTTCTTTCAGAGATTCACAAAATGATAGATACATTTTTTTCCTCATTCCTCAGGGATCATCAACATACCTGCAGTAGCCCTTGGAATATTTTCTGGAGGGATAGTAATGAAAAAATTCAGAATCGGTGTATATGGAGCTGTAAAAATATACCTGGGATCATCAGTCCTTGGGTACCTCCTATTTCTTTCCCTGTTTGCACTGGGCTGTGAAAATTCTGATGTGGCAGGATTAACTGTCTCCTACCACGGGTATGTTCACTCATGAAATGATCTGAAGAGATTGGCTTGTTTAATCAAATTAATTTTTATAGGTTTCATAATAAGGTAATTTACTTTTTAACCATGGAAAGGGAATAATTGTTCTATTGTTCCATAACTGATTATATTTATGACATGAAAGTTATAATTGTCACCAAAATCTGTCATTACTTTTGAAATTGAATGTTTTAAAGAAATATAAAAAATGATAAGCCTATATCTTACTTTAGGGCAGCAACTTGATAGTGAACAATTCAAGGCTTGAATCCTGCCTCTTCCCATTCTTAGTGAAAGTCATTGTATGGGTTATTTAATAGAATCCAGCTTCAATTTTCCCACTTAAAAATAAAAGTAATTACTGTCTTTTAAGGTTTTATAAGACTTAAGCAAGATAGCATATGTGAAAGTGGTCAATATTGCCTGGCACAAAATATATATGTCATTCATGGAAACAATTGTTGTTTTTTCTTTGATAATAACTGGGAATATCTCCATGCCACCCTTTGGGGTCTCTGTTGTACTCAAACCAGGCAAAGTTTCAGGAGACAATTCTGTTCCTCAACCCAGTGACCCACATGGCAGCTCCCTTTAGTTCTTTGCAGTTGGCCAGGAGAACTTACTGATACACTTAGACATATGCCATCCCTATGGGTGGGGGATTAAGTTTCTTGGCTTCCAGAGTCTATCACTCTCTTTTTTTTTTAATTAAAAGTATAGTAGACATACAATAGTATATGTTTTCAGGTGTACAACATAGTGATTCAACATTTATATACCTTATAATTATGTTCACCTTGGTAAAGCATCTGTCACTCTATAAAGTCATCTATATATGTAATAGAGGAATATGCAAATTAGCCAGGACACCATAACACCATGACTGAACAACAGGGACCTGAGGCTGCATGGTGCCTGGCCAGGGCAAGGAACCACAGGCTATGGCCTCCACCCAGCAGGGCTTGACAGGGGACCTCAGGCTGTGAGCCCTCCCAACAGGTATGGCTTGACAGGGGATCTGAGGCCATGGCCCCAACCTGGTGAGGCTTGATGGGGGGCCTCAGGCCATACCCCCCGCCCTGGTGCCAGGCTGGGAGACCTTATGCAGCACCCCACACCCCAGTGCTGGGCCGGGGACGTCAGGCCACACCCCCCATCCAGCAGGGTTCAACAGGGGACCTGAGGCTGCACCACCTGCCTGGAGGGGCTTGATGGGGGTGGGACTGGCCAGGTCTAGGACTCACACAATAGGGGCAGGGCCAGCTGGGTCTGGATCTCCTGTATTTTCAAAACGTGTGCAGGAACTTGACTCTAGGTCCCACAGCACACCCCAGACTCTGACAGAAGGAAGATTTTCATATACATTTTACTAATTTTTTTTCATCTCTGACACTTCTATTATAGAGAAAGGGCTAATAGCAATATTAAAATGTTTTCTCTAATTAATTCCCTTTTAATGTGCACGAATTCTGTGCACTAGGCCACTAGTACTATATAATAAAGAGGTAATATGCAAATTGACCATCAGTGATGGGTGAGCAGGATGGCAGTTGGCAGCAACCAGGCCATCCGGGGGAGTGAGGGGTGACCAGGCCAGCAAGGAGGAAGCAGTTGAGCAACCAGGCTGGCAAAGGGGGCCATTAGGGGCAACCAGGCTGGCAAGTGGGGCAGTTGGGGGCAACCAGGTTGGCAGAGGGAGGGCAGTGATGAGTGACTAGGCTGGCAGAGGGGGGCAATGAGGGGCAACTAGGCCAGTGAGGAGGAAGGGCAATTAAGGATGACTAAGCTAGCAGCGGGGGCAGTTGGAGGCAACCAGGCCAACATGAAAAGGGTGCGTTGAGGGGCAACCAGATTGGCAGATGGGGGCAATGAGGGGTGACCAGGCCAGCAGAGGGGGCAGTTAGGGGCAATCAAGTCCGCAAGCAAAGGTAGTTAGGGGTGATCAGGCTGGCAAGGGGAGCAGTTAGGAGCCAGCGGATCATAAGAGGGATCCTGGATTAGAGAGGTGCAGGCTGGGCTGAGGGGACCTCCCCCTAATCCCTGTAAATTTTGTGCATGGGGCCACTAGTATAAAATAATTAGCTTAATAAAATACAACCTTCTCCCCAGGGATCACTCTGAGTCACTGTGATTCAACAGGAACATTGTCAAGAACCTTTAGATGAGGTAGTGGAAAAAAGAAAGCTACTTTTTCAATAATGAGAATAAATCTATTGTGAGACAAGAATTTAGAATCCAGAGACTTCTAAGGGTTATAATTTGTCACTAATAAACCTTGGGATTTGAGCAAATTATCTGCCCACTGCCTGACTTTCTGATCTGCCAAATGTGAAATTGTCCTAGATCTAAACCAGAATCCTTTCAGCTCCATCCTTCTGTGTTCTCTGGATTGATAGTCCCTGATTCTGGGCTTTCAAAGGCACATATTTATACTTTCAGATACTACCAAATAGTCTCAAAGTGATGCCTATGGAAGGGAATAGAATGAAATATTATTGTATGACTTGTCAGAAGATCTAGTTAAAAACTCTTTCATTTAGTTTAAAGACATCTCAGAGGTCTTTCTTTTTACATTTGAAGTGACCAAATCCATTGCAGTCCTACTAGATAGAATATTACATCCATTAAGAAATTATGATTATAATTATTAGAGGAAATAGCTTTCAGAGGAAGGGTCAAGATGATTGATTCTTTCTCCAAAATAGACTACCATTTTTTAATCGGCTGACTTACCAAAATCTTGTTTCTTAGCCTACTATGTACCCGGAATTGTTTTTGGTGTTAGAGATATAGAAGTGAATAAAACAAATAGTTATCAATGAGTGTACATGACACCTTATGTGTGTGTGTGTTTAAGTTTATCATCTTATTTTGTAAAACAAAAAATAGTGGAAGAGAATAAGCAAATAAATAAATTCAAAATGGGAGAGGAAAAAAATTATGAAGGGCCAATGGATGCTAATTAAGGAACAGATAGAAGAGACATGTGTTGTATAAGTATACCCATAGAAGAATAAAGAGGTATGAATAGGGTAAGGAGAATAAGTATAGAAGGATTCAGTAATTCAGGTGAGAAGAAATAGAGGTGAGGTAGAAGGAATTCTGGGAGAGCTTAAGAGGGAATGAATGAGAGAAAAAGAGAGGGAGAAAAATAAGAGATGACAATCAAAATTAGGTCATGTTAACTGTTTTTAAAAAGCCAGCTTTTTGAGACAGATGTTGTCTCATTCATATCGTTAGTCATCTTCTCCCAAAGCAAGTGCTTGAAAGGCTTCCAATAAATTTTTTATGAGTAAATGGATAAGCCATTTTAAAAAAAACAAACACATGTGAAATAAAGTCAAAAGATTTGGAAGAGCTCCAAACAGTGGGAGGATATGTGGGAGAAAGAAAGTCAGAGGAATTGGCAATGCATTTATTAGTCAGATATACACTAATAAGATATGCAACTCCTACAGATGTCAAAAGTCTATTGAAATGTTAACTGCCTGACTCTTGTTTTCTTCACCATACCGTTAGCAATGTCAATTCTACTGATGTTTAAACAACTCTGAAGGAAATTTACACACATTCCATTTACAATGCATTTAAGTACTCTCATAAATTGCTCTAAAGTTTACTTTTTTGCCTTGTAGCCATTTTCATGTATCTTTGTATAGAAATATATGAGAAGATTCTAGAGGCAATAGACATTAATAAAAAACCATATTATGTAGAGTTAAAAATCTCTATAGGTAACTTTCAAAAGAATGCTATTCATAGTGGCTGGGCTCACATTTAACGTTCAGAAGCTAATGTTTCTAATGAGAATTACATTTCCAAAGGGAAATGTTGTTGGCAGTGCCATTTATATCACTCCAGAACATTGATTTTTTTAAAAAATATCAGGGTACTGTCTGCTAAGAGGTAATATTTTATACTGTTACATTTCTTTTCAGAACCAAACCTGTCTCTTATCATGAACGAGCTCTCTTTTCAGATTGCAACTCAAGATGCAAATGTTCAGAGACCAAGTGGGAACCCATGTGTGGTGAAAATGGAATCACATATGCATCAGCTTGTCTTGCTGGCTGTCAAACCTCCACCAGGACTGGCAAAACTATTGTAAGAAATCTTCTCTAAACTGTGTACCTATGAGCCTGAAACAATACATAATTATATGAGTCTATGAGGGTAGGGCTCAGGGGCCAACCCAGAACGAGACCACACTGGTAGGAACCCTGGCTCTTCCTCTGCCCTTGTTTTTATGTATTCATTTTATTTGTTTTTTATTGTTGACAGTATTACAGATGACCTTCATTTTTCCCCCTTTTGCCCTCCCCCTGCCTCCTCCCCCACATTATTGTCTGTCCATGGGTTATCAGTATATGTTCTTTGGTTAATCTCTTTCAGTCCCCCCAACCCACTAAAATCTGTTATTCTGTGCCCTTGTTTTCTTGTGTGGAAATAGGAAATATTATCATCATAAAGAAACTAGAGTTGTTGAAAGAATTAGGCTAAGAATTAAAATCATGGAATGGGCTGAATTAGCTTGGGAGGCCAAGGCCAGCCAAGCCATCACACCCCACACCTGTCACCTGCAGAGGAGGCCACCGGTGGCAGGGTAGTGGGGGGCAGCACTGCACAATGGCAAGCAGTGACAATAGCAGGGGTGGGGCCAGCTGCCCATGGTGGAGGAAGGAAAGCCCTGATCTGCCCTGATCTCAGGCCAGGCCTAGAGACCCTACCTGAGGGGATTGTGAGAGAATGCAGGCCAGGCTGAGGGATCCCCCTGAGTGCATGAATTTCTTGTAGGATAATAAGTTGCCATTGGAAGGCAAAGAACAATGATGCAATCTGACTGCCTTTTTTTAAAAGCTAGTTTCGGTTACTGTGTGGAAAACACAATAGTTGGATAAGAGTGGAAATAAGTTGAGCGTAAAGAGACCATTGAGATAATCAAGGCCAGAAATAGTGATGGTTTAGACTTGGAAGTGGCAGAGAAGGAGATAAGGTACAATTGGATTTAGTAGGGTTTGCTGGGAGATAATTCTGTAGGATCAGTAGTTTGTAGACCAACCATCAGCTGTCTGGATAATGAAATGTTATCTCTGTAAATTTTGCTTTGTTTGATATATTCTAACACAGAAAAATAGAAGAATTTTAGCCTATTGTTTACATAATAGCTGTATACTATACTGAAAAGACTTTTTAAATAAGTATTTATTTTTAACTGTATTTAAGTTTAACTTCAGTAATTGGATTTTTCCTGTCTTATTATAGATATTTCATAACTGCACCTGTGTGGGAATTGAAGCCTCTATATCAGGAAACTCCTCAGGCATGGTGGGCAGATGCCAAAAAGATAATGAATGTCCCAAAATGTTTCTGTATTTCCTTGTAATATCAGTCATCACATCCTATACTTTATCTCTAGGTGGCATACCTGGATATATCTTGCTTCTGAGGTGAACATTGACTCTCCTTCCTCAATTTTAATATAAGACATGCTGTAGTCATCTAGAATAGTGAAAACATCATTTTATATAGCTTTCCCAGGAAACACCCTACATCCTCTTTCCGCTTTCATATTCCCCACATTAGGTTCTTATACAAAAATGTGGTTGAATAGAAGTTTTCTGAGTGAGAAATGTTTGCAAACTATTGGTCTAGAAAGAAATGTTAGTAACCACTAAATCAATACAGTCTGCTATTTCTAATGCTGTTGATGTTAATCAGCATAGACTAAATGTGTTTTAGATTAAACGTGGTTTTACTGAATTATGAATGGTGGTGTTTGTATGACTCTTTAAAGGCTCATCTAATACCACAATGTTTTATATTTATTACTTTGATATGTAGGTTATTTTTCTATATATTATTACTCTAACTAGCATATCTGTGTGTGTGTTTGTGTGTGTGTTTGGATCATTTGAGGATTCTAATCCACATATTGGTGCTAATGACTCCATACGTTTTTGCTTTTAAAACCCAGACATAATTTTTAATACTGTGCAACGCTTTGCAAATTTTAAGTGGGCATCTAAAAATTCTATATAATAAAAGCCTAATAGGCTAAGTCTCTGGTTATCTGGTCGTCCCTTCAACCAATCAAAGCATAATATACTAATGATATGCTAGGGTCACACAACCACTTGCTATGATGTGCATTGACCACCAGGAGGTAGACGCTCTGACTGGTAGGTTAGCCTGCTGCTGGGGTCTAGCCAATTGGGACTGAGTGAGATGGGCCAGACACACCCTGGAGCCCTCCACGGTCCCTCCTTGACTGGCCAACCTCCTATGTCCCTCCACGAGATCTTGCACCAGTGGGGTCCCTCGGCCTGGCCTGCACCCTCTTGCAATCTGTGACTTCTTGGGGATGTTAGAGAGTCAGTTTCAGATCAATCCCACTCAATGCAGGAGCTTTTCTTGGTGGTCAGTGCACACCCACAGGGGGAGTACCACTCAGCCAGAAGCCCGGGCTCATAGCTGGCAAGCGCAGCAGCAGTGGCAGGAGCCTCTCACACCTCTGTGGCAGTCAGACATCCCCCATGGGCTCCCAGACTGTGAGAGGGTGCAGGCCAGGGTAAGTGACCCCATCCTGAGTGCACGAATTTTATGCACCAGGCCTCTAGCTTATTATCATAAGTTCAACTAGTAACTAAGCATTGATTTCCAGTATATTGTAAATAATTCATTTAAAAATATAATAATTTTAAATGTAGGTCACTCTGTTAAATATCACCAATGAGATCTAAAGAACATGGATTAGATAACCAATATCACTAATTTAAAATCATATGAAAATCTTTAATAGTCAAAATGTTGCATATTTTTTCCTAATTTAATTAGCCTCACAAAATTACTAGTATACAATTAATCAAACTAACCTAGAAATATTATAAATTTTATATAATTATTAAACAAAAAATCAAATTTTATTAGAAACAATTCTTTAATTATATAGATTAGATGAATTTACATTTTACATTGATTAATATATAGGAGAATGAACATGAAATGAAACTAATTAAAAGGATTGTATACATCTTTATTTTCCTGCAGGTTATATTATAGAAATTAATTTAAAAAGATAAATAGAAAATAGGACCTAATACCTACAAATATTTTTTTGGAAAAGAGTTTAAAGACAACATGAGATATTTGCATTTTCAAATGGGAGCATGGGTTCAAAAAGATGGGAAACTATTGAGCCAGAGTTCTCAGGCCAGGATTTTTCTTCATGGGTGGCTAGTTCTTCAACATCTTCTTACACTGTGCCAAGTAGTTAATGGGCTAATTGAATAATCAGGCTACTAGAGGAAGAGTTTTCCTTACTGCCAGTTTCTCAAATGAGCCACTCAGTATTTTTACATAAGAAGGAGATGGGGAAAAAAAAAAAAAAAAAAGGAGATGGATGTCCTTGGATTGAAGGAGAAAAGTTGTGGGTTTTGCCTCTTTTAAAGAGACTAACTAAAATTATACATATAAAGAACTTAGTACCATGGTTAATACTCTATAGTTATTATGTAATTTTTATTATTATTAAAAGCCAAGACCAATTAGCTAAAGCTATTTTGTCATATTAGGATATTCTTGTTACTTTAGATTTTCTTGAACTTGGCTGAAAATTTCAGGTGTCCACTATGGAGCACAAGTACATGCCACACTGATCGTGATTGTATCAACCCTGACCAATATGATCCTTTGCTTTTAGATCAAAACCACAAAAACTAATAATAGGTTATTAAGTCCTTATTGTTACCTCAAATTCTTGCACTATCTTAGAAGTTTGTGGGAGTTTTTGTGTCTTTATTATTTTTCTGATTAAACATGATTTTACTTTACCCAACACCATTTGAATATGTCATGTGGGGCTGGTTTACCTCCTAGGAATGTTACCTATAAACTTTTTGATGCATTGCCTTTAATTTTGCCTAATTTGCCTTCCCTATGCTAGGACTCTAGTGGGATCTCCATAAATGCTACTTGAATTCTAGTATCACTTTCCATGTGCTAAGTAGATTGTCACTAATACTATTATTTGCTTTAATGGAATACACATATATATTTATAACAGTGCTTTTCTTGCTTTTAGGTGCATTAAGCCACAACTTAAATCTTTTGCCTTGGGTATCTACACCTTAGCAGTAAGAGTTCTTGGTAAGTATAATCTATGTTTTAAATATGGTGGCCATCACAAGTGTATTTGGAATATTTTTCTAAATATTTTCACAGAATTATCACATATAACTGAATGATATAGGTGGTTAGGTCCCTATTCTTTTTACTTTCTTCCTTTTTTCCTCCCTTCCCTCCTTTCTTTCTTTGATTTCTCTCTCCCTTTGTTTCAGAAATATCTATGGAGAGGCAGTACTTGAGCCCATGTTATGATAAAATGAATCTGTGAAAATAATGCCATTTTTTTTTTTTGGGTAGTGAACTTGTCTCTTCCAGCATTGATCTATTGTAAACAAAACAAAACAAACAAACAAAAAAAACCTCACTGCTGTTATAGGAAAATCCCACTGAGAGAAAAGCCAAAATGTGAATCAATAAGAAAAGCTAAAGCCTAAATGTAATTTTATCAGTTATTAAATTGGAAGGAATACTCTCAATGCTAGGATATATCATTTTGGTAGAAAGATCAGACCATTCAATCAAAGCAGTTTCTTAAATGTACTTGGAATTTTTTTCTGACTACTAGATTTTTCAATATACATTAATTAAAACCCATAGGAAATAATGTGAATGAGTCAGATAAGTTTTCTGTTCTTAGTAAGAAGAAAGTAAAAACAATCCTAAATGATTCTCTGTAATTTAACAGAAAAAGAATTACCAGGGAGAAAAACCAAATTCAGAACTTAAAAAAAAAATCTGGTTTTTGGTTTATATAAATCTTGACGTAAAGTGGGTATAATATATGAAGATACAATATAATCCTGATAAAATTGGGGAAACCACCCCCTCCCCCATCTTTGCCTGTGATAACCACAAGTCTGATCTCTTTTTCTATGAGTTTGGGGATTTTTTTGTTGTTGTCTTTACAGTATTTGTAGTTATTGATATCACAAGAGGGTTTATTATATCATTCTTTCTAATTTTGTGAATGTTTGAAAATTTGCTATTATGAACATTTTAAAACATATACAGAGGTTTGGCAGCATTTGGATTTTTTATTTATTTTTAATTTTTTGGGCCTTTCTTCACATTATTAAGAACAATTGAAGTTAGGTATCACCTAAGTATTTTTTAAGTAGTAAATAACCTATTAATTTGGACAACACATATAAAGAGTGAAATTTTATTTAAGACACCAACTAATACAAATCGGCTGTTAGCTATATTTAAATAATTGTTTTTCACATTTATGGGATTTTATGGATAATAGAATCACTAGATTCTTTCTTGAATCTAGAGTCCTTCCTTATCTTCTTAGGAAGGGAGTCACCCTTTCAAATGGAGATTTTCTTATAAATGTAAATTTCCCTTTAAAAGGGGGAAAAAAAAAAAAACTTATGTTCTGTTCAGAGCTTCTCCTGTGTTTCTGTGTCTCAAAATAACCAGCTCAAAATCATCTTTATACCAGAGGCATGTTGGGGTGGCATGTTCTGGTCGCCTACATGCCCTGGTATCTCCAAAGCAGTAATTTTTGGACTGAAGGGAAGTGGTTCCAGATAGTCATTCACTTTTTAGGGTAAAAGATGTGCATTTATTTTTAGCAGCAATTGTTTATTTTCCTCACAGCAGGCATCCCAGCTCCCGTATATTTTGGAGTTTTGATTGACACTTCGTGCCTCAAATGGGGATTTAAAAGATGTGGAAGTAGAGGATCCTGCAGATTATATGATTCACATGCGTTTAGGTACCGTATCAAACTCATTCCCACATCTCAATGCTATCACCTCCCAGGTCAGCACTAACTTCCTCGTGTCATTTCTCGGCTTGTAAGAAAAAGGATAGTCTAACCAAGGAGCGGGTTTTACAGAATAATTCCATTGCCATTTAATTGCTTGGCTATACTTTTAATTTTCCACATTCCTAAGCTTAACTTGCATTTTCAATGAGTAATCACTAAAAAGAAAAATACGACAAAAGATTCCAGAATAGAGTAGAATTCTGAAAGTGTATGCACACAAATGAGTAATTCCCTGAAACTCAGAGGCATTTAAATTTAGGTCATTTTTTGGGTTTATTTCCATTCTTTTTCACACGGAGCCAAACCATCCCATCTACGTCAGCCATCATCCCCCTGGGCCAGAGTTGGATTTGGCTCTAAATCTAGCCGGCTTTTATTGCCAAACGGATGTTCAATTATTCCAGAACTTGAAATACATAAAAGTAAAAGGTTTCCTCTGAGTGTGATGTGTATGGGGCTGGGGGCCATGGCTCTTTCACTATGGCGTCATTCAGTCCAGTTCATCAAACATTTAGTCCCCTTATTGCTTAAAGCAATGCTTCAATGGCTTAGAAGCAAGAGGGTTTGTGTGTGTGTGTGTGTGTGTGTGTGTGTGTGTGTGTGTGTGTGTGTTGTTTTTTTAAGATTTAAAGTCTGAGCATTTTCTAGAGAAAGAAACCTGGTGTTTCGCCATGGAAGTTGGAAGTTGGATGTGTGAGCCAATCCTCTTAAATAAGTTTGTTTGATTTAACAGGCTTTGATGTCATGTGAGAATGTACTTTGGTCTTTGAAAGGGACCTGATCTGCAAGTAGAGTTCAGCTTCACCCACATTTGCTAAGGCTGCATTAATGTCAATATAAAGACAATGTGATTCAATCAGAGACTGTGAGTGTCTGTACAAGGGGCTCGAATGGATCATTCAGCCTGTCCTTCCACACCCTCACATCTTATGACAAAATGTAGAACTCCAGGCTTCTCACGGAAGAAGCCCACTTAAACACCTGGTTTATTCTTACGCCATTATTTTTCTACTGAGAGTTCTAATTCCCCCTTCTTGCAATTTTTCTGTAGAAGTGAATTTTGGGCAAGGCTCAAGGATAACCACGTGATTTATTATTCCAACCCAGACACTTTTGAGAGTGAAAGGGCACTATTAAAAACTGCCCTAGGGCAACACTGCAATAAACTGGCACCGTTTTTGGCAAATAGGGATATGGTCTAAGGAACTAATTTACAGAGAGGATATAAACGATTAGGAAATTAGTAGTAGTAACTGAAAGTGACAATACTACTAAAAAGTTACTTGATGCAAACATACTGCTTTCAATAGTCTCATATGTTCAAAGAAAGACCTTTTATAGCGACTGAATATGCATTCCTAAAGAAACCATCCTCGTGATATTTTTGTGGATATTGATGGATGTCATTGGTATGACTATTTATTAAATGCTATTATGACCTTTCTTTCATGATGTATTTAAAGTTGGATAGTTACAATAATTAAGACTGAGATTCCGTCTTCTTCTAGACACATATATCTGGGACTAACTATGCTGCTGGGAATAATGTCCATTTTCTTAAGTACTGCAGTACTGTTCACTTTGAAGAAAAACTATGTTTCAAAACACAGAATCTTCAGAACCACAAGAGAAAGAACCGTGGTGTCTACAAGAATCAGCAAGGAAAACTGTACTACAAGTGATCATTTACTGCAGCCCACCTGCTGGGTAGGCAAGGAAACACAGCTTTAGAAAAGCGATGCCTTGAGCCACCTCTTCTATTTTCTGAAAATTCGGCAAGCAAAGTTTAATCCATGTGAACATTCTTTATCCTTTCTAAAAATGTCTACTTTGGTTTTTTTTACCCTAGGTATTAGATAATGCATCTGGAAATGAATATCATTAATCATATTATAGAAAATAGAGGTGATGAAGTGAAACTTTTTCATGTATATACAAATCGCTTATATTGGTTAGTCATTCTGCTTAATTTTACCATATGCTCATTGACATATTAGCTATATTCCTAGCAGAACAATTGTCTCCATAGGGTGATAGCTATGTGCAAAGTAATTTTTAAATGGAGATACTTGTCTAGGATAAGAGAATACTGTTAAAATTTGAACCATATCTTGGCATCCTCCATGTTGAATGGAGTCAAAACATGTAAAAGAAAATTTCATTTTAAGCTTCTCCTTTCATTTGGAATGCAATAATTGATATAGAAATGTATAGAGGTGCCCTAGCTGGTTTGACTCTATAGTGCATCAGCCTATGGACTGAATGTTCCTGGGTTGGATTCCAGTCAAGGGCAAACGCCTGGGTTGTGTGCTCAATGCCCAGTAGGGGATGTGCATGAGGCAGCCGATCAATGGTTCTCTCATCAATGATGTTTCTCTCTCTCTGTGAAATCAATAAATATATATATATATATATTTAAAATGTAAAGAGGCAAATGATCTTGGGGGATTTAAATTTTGGATTATTAGCTCTTCTACCATTCATTATCTGTGTGGTATGTGCAAAATTTCAAGTGACCGTGGTTGTAAAGTAGTCAAATTAAAATTCATATGTTTGGTTGTTCTTCTATGAATTCAATGAATTAAAAAATAATGTTAGCCGAAACTGTTTTGGCTCAGTGGATAGAGTGTCGACCTGAGGACTGAAGGGTACCAGGTTTGATTCTGGCCTTGGGCATGTACATTGGTTGCGGGCACAACCCCAGTAGGGGGTGTGCAGGAGGCAGCTGGTCGATGTTTCTCTCTCGTCGATGTTTCTAGCTCTCTACCTTCTCCCTTTCTCTGTAAAAAAATCAATAAAATGTATTTTAAAAAAATAATACTAATGTTAAATACAATCCTACTCATATCTTAATGTATGTAAGCAGCTCCAGACTTATGCACATGATGTCATCTTAGCACATATTTGCAAGTTGAATTTCTGAAAGTGTACAGCAAATGTGGGTGTTATAACAGGGCTCAGAGGGGTGGGTTGATTGCTGTGGTTCTTTGTGGTGCTCTCCCTGGCACCTACCACAGGGCCTGAGGGCCTCTGGGCAGAGGGTTGCTGCTGGCACTGCCTGCAAGAGAGCTCTCTGTTTCTCTGCAAATGAAGTCCAGCCAGGCATTTCCTCCTTGCCAGCTTCCTGGTGCTTCTCTGACGAGATAGAGTCGGTAGGACAGTCCACCATCTTTAAGCCTGAGCTCAATTCTGGGCTGTGTTTTTCTCTCTCCATTACGACTGCACAGGAGGGCCTGGCCCTCCCAAGAAAAGCAGACCTTCACGTGGAGTCCGTCCCAGTGGAGTCTTGAAATTGTACCAGTCTCAGCAGCCTTTAGAACAAACAGCACAATAAACAAGGAGCCTTTCTGAGGCGTGTCAAAGAGCCTAAACCCAACAAAAAAGGTACAGCTCGAAAACACAGTAGCCTCACTCACACACTGGGAGAATTAAATGCACACGAAGCAGTTTGCGGTCTTTTAATTTTTCTTTTATGTACCAGCACTGTGACTATGAACGGAAAAAGCTAGAGATGGAAAGTTTGGGGATGAAGAGCAGAAAAAATGTCCTTTAAATATTTATTAAGTTTGTCATTTTATTTTAATTGGTGATGCAAGGGTTTTTTTTTTTCTTCATATTTTTTTTTTACTATTTTTGAGATGAAAATAGACTTATGTTTCATTTCTAGCCGGCCTACCTCACACCGGCTGCTGCCCTAATAACTTGCAAGCAGGAATCCTTTTTGTCATCTGAATATCAATCTTACCCATAGCAAATATTTACTGAATGGGTGAGTGAGTACACTTGTCAAGAGTTTGCTTTGTAGAGGTGCAATTAAAATTCAGGTTCCTCATCCTGTCTCCCACATCCTCTTTATTTTTCAAAGCTTTTTGTAGCAATATCCTGCAAAATAACTACTTTGCAAGTAAATTTCTAAACAGGATCCTATCCAATTTACTCCTGAATAAGTTAAAAAAATAAAAATTGGCATAAAGGATGATCAAATGATTTTTTTTTCATAAAAGCAGTGAATGTCAATGAAAAGAAAGCATATTTATTGCATAACCATTAAGCCACCAGTGGAATTATATATATTCTAAACTCAGTTATGTGGCCTAAGAGGCGAATTGGATTTTCTAGATGGGACCTTGATATTTTAGATGAGTAAATTCATCTGACAGAAGCAAGCAGGCTTATTATGCCTCAGAAAGCACATGATTTTTTTTTTTTTTTTTAACAAACCAAACCCAATTTCAGAGGTCAAAAATATTCCCTCAGCCCCAGAGCCAAACATTAGAGGTCAGGCTTTGACTGACATGTGGGATCCCACAATTGCTCCAGGCTCAATGGGCCACTTTATTTCCTTTTGCTACAGCCATAGTCCCTAGAGTTGACTAGTGCCTCAAATGAACATCTGAATCACTACAACCTTCAGACAAATAACGCTCCAGCAATATCATTTTTATAAATGGAGTGACTTAAGTTGGGTTAAATGATTTGCCCAGGGTGGAGGCAAACTAATGCTGGGTTCTTCCATGACATCGTTATGCCTCTAAAGCAGGTAATAAAAGCAAATTATCTGCAACTTCTAAAAACAGCTGGAGGAACATCTGTGACCATTAGCATTTAAGAAATACCCATTTAAATATTACATATGTATACCCTTATCCATAAAGGGAGACTGAAAGAATAAATTGACGCTAGCATATTCTTGGGGATAATAATTGCTTTTATAATTTTTATAGCAGCTATTCAATGCAACAGTATTAAGCACTTTCCTGATGTGCTGAGAGAGTTACTAGACACATTGTCTCAATTTCAAGGATCAAAAGAATCGTATGTGTTAGGTATACTGGTAATTTCTGAGTTTTCAGAGGAAGAAATTGAGGCTTAGAGAGTTTTAGTAACTGTCCTAAGTCAACAAGTTCTAGTAGTTGGTAGAGCAAAGATTTGAACTGAGATTTATCACATCCAAATTGCCACATTATGTCTATGTTAATCTATATCCAAATTTGCTGTCTTCTTCTAAGTTTACTAAGTGTTAATCTTATACATCTACATTAGAAATGCTTTAGCATAATAAAACGTACCCATGTTTTAAAAGAAATCAAATGATACAAAAATATTTAAAATGAAAAGTAACAGTCCTTTATCCCAACTTCTCTATTCCTCCAACGCAATTACTACTCACCTGTTTGGTGTGTTAGTTTTTTCTGATGGTGACTTCCATATCTTTAAATAATATGCACATACCATTTTCTGATTTATTAATCTGGGGCACTATCTATTGATTCTGATAGATTACCAACTAATGTCACTCATCCTTTGTTGTTCTTCCTCTGTTATCTGCACACAGTGAGGTCACTAGTATGAGTTCCTCAAATGTCATATCAGTACCTCCATCCATTTCCTATTTAATAAGCATGGAAAGTAGCATGTGTTTTCCCACTTTGAAAAATAAATTTCTTAGAGTTTCTAAACTTGTGTTCATCTCCCTCTTTCTGTTAGTTGTACCTTTACTTTTACATTGTCAACAATGACAACATTTTTAGTCAACTCTGTAAACATTAGATCTAGGAAAGGCCTAAATGATTATGATTAAGATTGACTCCATCTACCGTTGAAGCCATAAAACTTCACCATTAGAAAAAAAGAATGAGCCGAAACCGGTTTGGCTCAGCGGTAGAGCGTCGGTCTGCGGACTGAAAGGTCCCAGGTTCAATTCCGGTCAAGGACATGTACCTGGGTTGCAGGCACATCCCCGGTAGGGGGTGTGCAGGAGGCAGCTGGTCGATGTTTCTCTCTCATCGGCGTTTCTAGCTCTCTATCTCTCTCCCTTCCTCTCTGTAAAAAATCAATAAAATATATTTTTTTAAAAGAGAAGAAAAAGAAAAAAGAATGAGTATTGAATGTAAAATGCAATTGAAAAAATGAATACAAAAGACATAAAAAAGAATAAATAAGAGAGGGGGAAAAACTTCTCTGAATCAAGCAATAGGAACATTAATGTATTTAAATGTTAATAGATGTGATATGAAATATGTTTTATGTTTAAACAATTTTGGAACATGTTGAGTTAGTGATGCTCTCATATGACTTCAGAATCTCTTGGAATCTTTACTATGATGATATACAATGACATTCTCCTAAAGAGGATGTGTGCCTCAAACTTATGTGGCATTAAATTCACTTTTTTATTAGCAAGTCTTGAATCTAATTAATGTTTAATGCATAAAGTATTTGGAAAACACAATTTTATCCTCCTTTTTAATTATTTTGCAATCTTTATTGGCTTCTGGGATCAGGATGATGCAGTTTTATAAAATTAACTAGAAAACTATTTCTTTTTTAATGTTTTGGGAAAAGATTTCATAGCATATGAATTATCTGTTCCTTTAACAATTGAAAGAATGTTTTTAACCTTTTTAAGAAACACCTTGAAAAGTTTTGATTAGTTATGTTGCTTTTTAAAAATATATTTTTATTGATTTTAGAGAAAGGGGATATTGTATACTTGGATTTGTCTTTTTTGTGTATTGCGTTTATCAGAAACTTATATCATTGGAATTTTCAAAGAAATGGCTTTTGGATTCTGTTTCTCTGCTGATTATTTTTTGCTTTAATTGTTTTCTTCCTTTTGTTTCCTTGAGGTGTGCTTAAAACTATCTTTACCTGAATTGTTGATCTGTTGTCTTATAACTGGATGTTCTAGTTTAGTAATGAAAACAATATACTTTAACGTGCAGTTTGTT